AGGAAAGGAAGGGAGAAAGGAAAGAAGGAAGGAAGGGAAGAAGGGAGAAAGGGAGGGAAGGGAGAAAGGGAAGAAGGGAGGGAAGGGAGGGAGGGAAGAAGGAAGGGAGAAAGAGAAGAAGGGAGGGAGGGAAAGAAGGGAAGAAGGGAGAAAGGAAGGGAGGGAAGGAGGGAAGAAGGGAGAAAGAGAGGGAAGGAGGGAGGAAAGGAAGGAAGAAAGGGAAGAAGGGAGGGAGGAAGGGAGGGAGGGAGGGAGGGAGGGAGGGAGGGAAGGAAGGAAGGAAGGAAGGAAGGAAGGAAGGAAGGAAGGAAGGAAGGAAGGAAGGAAGGAAGGAAGGAAGGAAGGGTTCTCCCAAAATCTCCCAAAGGGCTACAGCATTTTTAAAGCCAAAAACATCCACATAACATTTGGAATCAACCCAGACAGAAGCCTCCCTAATTAGCTGAACTATAAGGAGAAGGAAGTACAACGCAATCAGATTTACAAGCTTATGTCAATCTCAAATAAAAATGCCTTTTGCCTTCCCATGTAGTGGATTTCCTGGTCGGATATATCTGGTGGGGCTGACAACAAGAGAGTCTTAGCCAAAAGCTTACTAGATTTGACTCCAGTGAAAGCTCGGCTTGCTGGAAATTCCACAGTCAGGATAGCTTTTTGGGTGCCTTAGAAAGCACTGCCAAAATATACTTACCTTCCTGCTGAAGGAACGGGACGAAGAGCTCAACCATGGTTCCACTGAGAACTTGATTAGATGCCCCCGAGACTGCATGGTGGCTGCAACTACCAATCCCTAAAAGGAACCAGAGGCCACACCTCAATTTTTCCTTCCTTCATTAAAACAACGGCAACAGCAACAACTCTGCGGCCGCCAAATGACAAATGCTCAATTTCAAACCGGATCCTGAGCCAATCTCCAAATTTCGCGCCCTTCTCCAGGGAAATAATTGCTGGAGAAATTACTTAAGGCACCTTTTTTTTTCTTTCTTTCTTCTTGAAAGTCTAAAAACTGGGCCGATGAATTGAACATGACCCTTGCAACATCTGCGTTCGTTCCCTTCTCTACGATCGCCTCTTGCCAGAACTTTACCTGAGAGGACGCTGATTTTCTGAGCCACCACAGTCAGCTTTCCTTCCGCACCTGTCGAAAATGGAATTGTGAGGTTAACCCAGAGTTTAAATAAATAATCCTAGGCTACAATCACTCAGAAATGGAGAAAGACGGTTTCGTCTGAATGGTTTGTTGACCTTCATTGGGATTTTAGGAGAAGACAGGTAAGTGCAAGAAAGCATTTAGAAAGAGGAGAACTGTGTAAGCCAACTTTGGCATCTTTTAAGATTTATGGACTTCAACTCCCAGAATCCCTCAGACAATGTGACTGGCTGGGGAATTCTGGGAAATTCCCTTCCCCTGAAGTCCTAAAGTTGTCAAGGTGGGACACTCGTGATGTAAGCAACTCTCTGCCTCGCTTGGCAGAAGAGAAAGAAAGAAAGAAAGAAAGAAAGAAAGGAAGGAAGGAAGGAAGGAAGGAAGGAAGGAAGGAAGGAAGGAAGGAAGGAAGGAAGGAAGGAAGGAAGGAAAAGAAAGAAAGAAAGAAAGAAAGAAAGAAAGAAAGAAAGAAAGAAAGAAAGAAAGAAAGAAAGAAAGAAAGAAAGAAAGAAAGAAAGAAAGGAAAGGAAAGGAAAGGAAAGGAAAGGAAAGGAAAGGAAAGGAAAGGAACCAACAAAGAGGCAACTGTGATGAAAATGTAGTGGGCCAGATTTCCAAAAGGGAGGATTACATTTCAGAGAAGTAAGAAAACAACTCAATTCACATAATTTGTGTATGAGAAAGAGGGTAAAGACAGTCCCTCCTTAATAGTTCCCAGAGGATATGCTTTTCAGGTAGCGGTTTGCTTCAGTTTGGCAAGATTCTGTCTACAGGTGAGGAACAGTAAAGGAATCTGCTTGGGACGATCACAACGGGACTTTCTTTGTTTGTGGAGATTGACAATGCCCTTTCCCACCCAAAGAAAGAATTACTGACCTCCCAAAATGGCGAAGAGGTGCTTCCCGAAGGACTCCACAGTGGACGGGTCGCTGCACTGCAGGGCCAGATTCTTTAGTGCAACTACGGCCTTGTCCATCAGGTGGGAACTGTTGGATTTCAACTGGCCTGAAAAAAAATCAAATATGGGAGCCGTTAAAGAAGTAGGAGGGATTCCTTTTGGGAAGAGAGGCAACAGAATGAGGATGCCGAATGGAACAGAGCCGCTGAACGAATTAAGTGTTACTAATTTAATAGTAGTAATTCCCTTCACAACGGTGGCAAGGAAGGTCGTAAGATGGGACAAAGCCTCGTTTAGCAATGGAAATTTGGAGCTTAGCTGTGGCTGTAAGTCAAGGACTACCTGTGTTCTCTCCTATTGGAATTGAAATACAACAGCAAAGCCCACAATAATGAGAGGCTGAGGTTTAAGAAGGTAGAAGCACCAGAGGGGATCTTACATGAATGGAACAAAAGCACTTACTGGCTAGCCCTTTCACGACATCCAGAGCGTACTGGCTGAGATCAAGGGTGACGGATGCCAGTAAGCAAGAAATTGCTGAAGAAAAGAAAAAGAAGGAGCGTGTTCAGTCCAAAGGCTTTCAGGCTTAATGTAATCACCCGGAACGTAACACAAACGTTAACAAAATCCAAAACGTAAGTAAGTGTCCTTTAATGCCTCCAGCTTGGCCCCGCTGTTCAATAATTCTCAGTTGGAGATAAAACGTACTCAAAAATAGTCTTCAAAAGAAAGCAATACCGTCTGAACTTAATGAGCAGATAGAAATAAAAAAACTAAAACAAACTACAACAAAGGAATTTTCACAACGGACCAGGATAAGTAATTACCAACTTCAAGGAGATAACAAGGCACGGTCTGTTGGAAGCACGCCAACCAAGATAACTTCAGCCCAAAATAAAATATGCTTTGCTTCTGGCAATGCTGTGTTTTAACATCTCTTTTATATACTAGTCTCCCCAGCTCCAACCAATGAGGGGGATCATGGCCGCTTCCTCTCTCGTAAGCCAAGTTGTTTCCTCCTCCGTTCCTCCCTGCATGTCCTAGGATGCAGAGGGGATGGGCCTGGTTCTTCCTCTGACTGCCCAGCTGGCTTCTGCCCTTCTCCAGCCTCCTCCACAACCTCCAGAGCCACACTCCACTCCCTGTCGGATGTTCCTCCTCTCCCTCAGAGTCCGACTCCAACAAGGGCATGACACTTGCCAACAGCCACACCAAAACCAACCATTGCAGCCAATTTTGTATTCACAGCTTCTGGAGGTACCGGTATAAAAATAAAATAGGGACCTCTGGAGCTGCTGGTATGTAATAGACTGTCAGGCTTGTCTCAACTAGGTCCCTAAGGAAAGAAAGACCCTCGACTCCCTTTGGTTGAAGTAATAGGTACTTTTACTAAGGATTAGTGGTTGCAGCAAAAGCAGTCTAGAACGAAAGGTCCAATGCAAAAGGTTACAGATTTCCCCCTTCCTGGAAGCTACAGTGCCAGCCCTAAATAAATATAAGTAAACACTAATTTTCTACTCCTGCTGGGATCTCCTATCAGCAGGATTCTGATCCACTCATACTAGCTATCCTTCACAAGGTGCTCCATATGTCTGCCTCAAATCACTCACTTTCAATGGCGTTCTCTGAGCTCCTCAAGAGAGATTTCTGCAAGGCTGGCAACATGAGGTCCTTGAATTCGGAATGAGACACGTAGCGGAGCAGAGGAGCGCAATTGTCCTGCAAGGAAACAGCACCGCTTTAATAGCAATAGCACTTAAAAATTTATGTACCACTTCGCAGTGCTTCACAGCCCTCTCTAAGAGGTTTGGAGTCGGCCTATGGACCCCAACAATCTGGGCACCTTTGGGAAGTTCGTTTTAGTGAACGTTCAGAGTTGCCACGGAACTGAAAAAAGTGACTTATGACCATTTTTCACACCTAACGACCATTGCAGGTGGTCAGGTGATTTACATTTGGATGCTTGGCAATTGGTTCATATTTATGATGGCTGCAGTGTCCCAAGCGGTCCCCTTTTTGTGACCTCCTAAGAAGAGAAGACAACGGGGAAGGCAGATTCACTTAACCCTGTGACTAACTTAACAGCTGCAGTGATTCCCAAGAAAAGCCGTAAAATGGGACAAAGCTCAGTTAAATCAAAACTCTCAATTAGAGACATGAATTCTGGGCTCAATTGTGGTCCTAAGTCAAGGACGATCTGCACCTCAGGCGCCACAGGCAAAGCAGACTCAGATCTACAGAAGCTTTTGCTAAAATTGGCTTATGGCAGTGCAAAGACTACGCAGAGTTTACCGGGCCAAATTAGCACAACGACTTCATGGTTTGGGGGCTTTTGTCAGTGGTGGGACTCATCGGGGGGGGGGGGGGAGGATGAGTCTGCCTACCGAGATGAGGTGGACCAACGGTTGCTTTCGTGGTGTGGAAACAATAACTTGGTCCTCAACACCAATAAGACCAAGGAGCTCATAGTGGACTACAGAAGGAAGAGATCAGACATCCAGCCCTTGCTTATCAATGGAGACCAAGGGGAGCAAGTGATTTTAAGTTTCTGGGTGGACCTGACCTGGGGTGCTCACATTGCAGCCCTGGTCAAAAGGGCCCAGCAGAGATTAGACTACCTGAGGCTTCTCAGGAAACAACAACTGAATGGAAAACTGCTGCTGACCTTCTACCGCTGCACCAGAGAGAGTATCTTAACTGACTGCACCTATGTGTGGTTTGCCAATTGCACAGGGGCAGATAGGACAGCACTCCAGAGGGTTAAGGTCATTGCCCAAAAGATCACGGGTTGCCCTCTCCCCTCTTTGGAAGAGCTTTATAGCTCCCGCTGCCTTAAGAAAGTTCAAAACATCCTCAAAGATATATCTCATCCTGAGCACCCCTTTATCTGAACTATTATCATCTGGCAGACGGTTCAGGATAATAATAAAATCAAGGACAAATAGGCTGAAAAACAGCTTCTATCCCAGGGCAGGAACTCTTATTGAATTATCAATATTAGTGCAATATTAATGCAATGTCAGGGGTTTGCAATTCAATGTACAGAATGTGAAGGAGGTACATTTGTGTTTATTTTCAGTCATAATGTACACTGAAGATGGTATTTAATTTTGTTGTACCAGGTGCAATGACAATAAAGTAGACTAAACTAAAACTTTTGAGGGATTTCTCTCACCAGGATGTGCTTATGAGGCTTGGTCTTGCTCATCAGGATGGTCTTCACATAGAAATCGAGGAGGGCAGCCTGAATAATGAAAGTAATCATGACACTGACACGTAACAACAACACAGATCACTTCATCGTAGGTCAGAGAATGTGGGTTCGCTATGAAAATCACAAATGTTATGCAGTCTCTGTTTATAACCTCAGGAGGGGATACAGTGCTTGGTTGTGCTCTTGGCTTAAGAAAGGTTGTAAAATGAGGCAAAGCTCGCTTGACCACTGTCCCGCTTAGTAGTGGAAATTTTGGGCTCAATTGCAATTGTAAGTCAAGGTCTACCCGTATCTCGCTCTACCACACTGCCAGCCATTTGCGAAGCCGCCGTTATCTTTCTCCAACCCCAAATGGCCGTTTTTAAAAAAAACTTACCTTGTGTTTGTTGATGGTGCTGAGATCTTTCTGGCTGGTGCAGAACTGCACAAGGAAGCCCAGCATGATCGCATATCCCTGATTGGCTTCCAAATGAAGAATTATGGAGAGATACTGATCCACCAGCCCAGGATTCTGAGGTCAAAGGAAAATAAATAAATCACTGCACGTGAGAAAGACAAAAGACCTGTTTTGACCTGCAAATCCTACGCCCCGATGCAGATTTCTCAGTCTTGGCAACTTTGAAGATATGTAGACTTCCAGAATTCCCCCTGCAAAACATGCTGGTTAGGCAATTCTGGGAGTTATTAATACCAATATTTCTGCATTGGAATTATTAGCATTACTAATACTGAAGTGGTTCCGTGGTGAAAGGATTTGCTGTGACATCAACTGTTGTCTAGACCAGGGGTCTCCAACCTTGGCAAGTTTAAGCCTGGCGGACTTCAACTCCCAGAATTCCCCAGCCAGCTTTGCTGGCTGGGGAATTCTGGGAGTTGAAGTCCTCCAGGCTTAAACTTGCCAAGGTTGGAGACCCCTGGTCTAGGGGACGTCCAGCTGGGTCTCTGTGAAGTTGACTACCGAAACGATACCTATCTAGCTACTTGCGACTGTCTGCTTTCGGACTGCTGGGCTGGCAGGAGCTGGAGCGTGGCACGAGCGCTCACTCTGCCCCGAGGCAGCAATGGGTCTCGAATGCCGGCCTGCCGATCGTCAGCCCAGCATTCTAACATCTTAAAGTTGTTGGGGTTATGAACACTGCCTCAATGTATTGTAGTAGTGGTCGCCAACCGGTGGGCCGGGGACCCACTGTTGGCCCGTAAGAAAAATTTTGGTGGTCCGCAAAGAAATGTCACCCCCAAAGCAAGCGATCCAGGCTGCACGGGAACACAAGGCTGCGCCACCCACATGGCCCACGGGAACACAAGGTTTGCGTCGCTTGCATTGCAAACAACACGAGGTAGTGAGGGGAGGGGGGAATGGGCGGAGGGGGGAAACTTGACTGGCCATTGGGCTGCTTCTCTTCTCTCTTCTTCTGCTTTTGGCTGCACTCAAGGAAAGCAGCCAAGGTCTTTCTTTTTCTCCCCCAAACTCCGCCAGAAATGAGTGTTTGGGACCCTGCAAGTCCTCCTGCTCCAAGAGGCTGCACCAGCATGACAAGTCTCACAAAGACTCATTTCTGGCGGAATTTGGGGGAGAAAAAGAAAGACTTCTGCTGCTTCTGCTGCTTTCCTTGCATGGAGCCAAAAGTCTCTCTCTCTCTCTCTCTCTCCCCCCGCCCCCCGCGAGAACGGAGTTGGAGACGGTATCCTGCGATCCCAAATAAAGAATGGTCGATCGGTAGGAAAACGGGATGGGGGATTTTCCTGCAGACTTTTTTGGGGATTTTCACAGGGTCTCTGCTCAGCGGGATTTAAAATTATGAGTTTGGTGGTCCCTGAGGTCCAAAAGATTGGCGACCCCTGTATTAGATCATGGTTTCTATCATGTCCGGTCAAGATACTCAACATATCCGGGAGATGCGAGATAAGACAGGCCTAACTGAAACTCTGAACCTCGGGTGCTTGTTTGCAGAAAATGTAACTTCACCTCTTTCCAGAGTCTGTTCAACTTCTTCACGGCCCCGTTCACCACAGGTTTGCGGGAACCACCTAGGATCTCCAACAGAAGGAAACACTGGACTTCCACCTGTTAATAAAGACAAGTAAAGGGATCCTTTAATGTCACTGGCCATCCTTGATCTGTTGTTAGCTTGTGGACGCTGCTGGCCAGGAGCCAATTTCACGGGGTCATTGTTTTGAATCAAGGAAGGGCTGAGGAGGTCAGGAAGTCTGTATATATGCTCGAGGCAAAATCCGGAGCCAGAGTCCTGGAAGCAGTTCATGACTGTGTGTTCTGACCCAAACCCTTTTCCAATAAAACAAACACGAACCAAAGGGAACAGAAACCTTTTAATGATTCTTGCGAATCCTCGGGAAGTGGCAGTTACCAGTTTCATAGCATGATATCGTAGTCTCTTGAGACTGAAGGGTGCCAATTCAGGTGATGTTGTATCACTCCCCCTCTACTCACAGCTCTCTCAACAGAGGGTCCATTTATCTGTCTGTCTATCTGCCTATCTAATCAATCTATCAATCTATCAATCTATCTATCATCCATCCATCTACTCTATCATCTGTCTATCTATCATCCATCCATCTACTCTATCATCTGTCTGTCTGTCTGTCTATCTATCATCCATCCATCTACTCTATCATCTGTCTATCTATCTATCATCCATCCATCTACTCTATCGTCTGTCTATCTATCTATCATCCATCTACTCTATCATCCATCCATCTACTCTATCATCTGTCTGTCTGTCTGTCTGTCTATCTATCATCCATCCATCTATTCTATCATCTGTCTATCTATCTATCATCCATCCATCTATTCTATCATCTGTCTGTCTGTCTGTCTATCTATCTATCATCCATCCATCTA